TGCGATCATTAATCGAGTCTCTAGATCGCTAGAGATAAGCCGACGAAGTCTTAGCTTTCCAGTGAGCTACGGCGGCTGGAAAAATAGGACATTTCGTCGTCTTTATCTCCGACGATCGAGTGGCTGGATTGATGATCAAGATACACGGTTAGATCCTTAAAGAAACTTTGTTTTCAAACATATATTTTTCATGAAAAAGACATGTTCGGATCTTTAGTAACACTCAGTTAAACTTTAAAACGTATGTTTTCCAAAAGTTTTTAATTTTTAATGACGATTTTGAGAACTCCGAGGTATCGTATGATGAAATAAAAGTACTGCTAGATAAGTCGAGTTGAGAACTTTAAAATAATATATGATTTTCCACCACCAAAGTTGGCGATGGCAAGCGACGACTATTAATTTTAACATTTTCTGTTTTTTTTTTTTTTTAAGTTTGGATGAGCGACTAATTTAAAAAACCTTAATGAAAAAAATTGATTAAACTGAAACATAAGAACCAAAAGCAAAAACATAATATATTTGGGGTACCAAACTCATTTTTTCCCAACTTAGAAATATCAGAACTCATAAGCAAAAATCAAATAAACTTGGATGCCAAAAGTAAAATTTTTCTAAATTGAAAACCACGTTGTGAATTTTCTCCTTTAGCTACTAATGTAGTATAACTAGTATTCGATCCTGTGCACATGCACATATGCAAATACAATTTTATATGTTATATGTATGTGTGTGTAATATTTAAAATCATAAGTTAGATACACATTTTATAAATTTTATCATTAGTAAAAATGAACGATAAACTATTAACTTACATATTAGTTTTTATATCGATTGCAGTTATATAATTTCTGCAATACTTTTTTAGTATGAACAATTGATTAGATAAAATAATATTGAAATAATTATTATTATAGTATCGAATTTTGAAAATTTTGGTTATATCATAAAAATTAAATAACTAATGTTGATAAAAACACTTGCTTAGTGAGTTAAAACCATAAAAAAAATCAAATAAATAGTTTGAAAAAAAAATTTAAATTATAATTTCATTTAATGTGGCTTTATGATTCGTTAGGAGTAATTGCTATATAATAAAATAAATAAACAAATATAAGTACTTAATTAATGCAAAGTAACCTCTTTTGGAGGGAAAAATTATGAAGTTTTATTAAATGCACATGAACTAGTAATTATATATATATAGATAACATCGTGTTATTAAGGCCCTTCAAAGCTATTGATGAGAAATGTGAAAAATGAATTTCTAAAATCCATAACAAGTCACTTCAAAATATATATGAAAATGTAACTATTAATTCATTTTTTTTCCTCATAAAATGATAAAATGCGACACTAGATTGCAGAATGCGAAACGTCTTCAAGTTAAAGTGTACCGTTTTGTGTGGTGAAGAAATGCTACGGTCCCGTTACCGAACTATTTCGTCGAGTTTGTAACCCAGAGTTTCCACTAAATTCAAGAATATAATTTACGAAACGTCTTCGAACCGTTGCACAAAGCCACAAATAAAGCATACAGTTTGTGTGCTCGAGAATATAAATCGATTCTCGGACCACTAAATTCAACAAATATAAATCACAGCAAAATGAACTCCAAAAATCCAACTTTGATTAAGCAAAAAGTAATAGCAACAGCAAAATTCATCTGCAAATAAACAAGACCTCGAATCTCACTCCAATGGCGGATGCCGAGTCCCAAACGAACCCAAGAGTCGTGTGCTGCGTGGGCGACATCCATGGCTACCTCACCAAACTGCAACACCTGTGGTGCAACCTAGAGAAAGCCGTCGGCCCGTCCGATTTCCAAACGGCCCTCATAATCTTCCTGGGCGATTACTGCGATCGGGGGCCCGACACCAGGAAAGTGATCGATTTCCTCATCTCCCTGCCCACGCGATACCCTAATCAGTCCCACGTGTTCCTCTGCGGCAACCACGACCTCGCTTTTGCGGCGTTCTTGGGGCTTCTGCCGGACCCGCCAGGCGGGTCGGGTTTTCCGGCGACTTGGAAGGAGTACGAGATGAATGAGGGGAGAGAAGGATGGTATAGGGGCGCAGGGTACGAGAATATGCACCTGCAGGGGAGGAGATGGGCCGGGAGGATGACCGGATTCAATCACGCCAAGAATACAGAGTATAAGGGCTCGATTTACGATGCCGGCCCGACCTTCGAGTCGTATGGGGTCCCACATGGCTCTTCTGGTATGGAATTCTTGTGGATTGTGTGTTGGTAATTTGTGCTAGGAATTTGTTTGATCTTGATTTATTATATGTGGGTTTTCTGAGTTAGAGTTGGTTCTTGACTACCTTCAATATTGCATCTTTAGGATGCACCATTTTATTCTAGTAGCTATTGATAGGCAGCTAAACATAAACAAAGTACTGTCATCTTATAGCATAAGTATTCATGTTTGTGATAAAGGTATGACAGGTAGAACCTCCTAATCACACATATATTCCAAGTTGTAGGGTTGAATTTTGCATTAACCGTGACATGCTTCTTGTTGTGATTGAATACTGGAAAAGAGAGGAACAAAAATCCTCTCATTTAAGCTCCCGAAGGCCCCTTGGGATGTTCACGGACCGCATAAGTAAACCCGTAATAATTCACATGGATTAATATATATTTACTTAATTTTCTTGAGTCGACTTGAATGTGAAAAATGGTGCCGGATGGAAACTATTGGCTTCAGATTTAATGAAGGCTGTCCCTGATGAGCACAAGAAGTTTCTTGCTGATTTGGTTTGGGTACATGTAGAGGTGTGTTTGTTATTGTTGATTTCTGTTGTAATTATTGATTTTTTATTTTATTTTTTCGAAACAGAGTATTATATGCTGACTAATGAAGTTGTTATTTCTGAAATTTACTAGGATGGTGTACCTATAGAAACCAAAGACGGGTTGCAAAACTGTAGACTGATTGCCGTGCATGCCGGTTTGGAGAAAGGTAAAGGGGTTGACGAGCAGCTAAATTATCTGAAAGCCAAAGACACGAGCATCCCAAAGGTAGAACCTCTTAGTGGCAGAAAAAACGTCTGGAATATACCACAGGTAAATTTGCTTAGTCCCACAAATTATCTCTTCAGCTTACCTCCTATTTTCTTTTTCTTTTTTTTTTTAATGTTTTAATTGCGTGTTAATAGGAATTGGTGAATACTCCAACTATCGTGATAAGTGGTCATCATGGGAAGTTGCACATTGAAGAATACAGATTGATAATAGATCTTGGTGGCGGCTTACCGAGTAATCCGGTGGCTGCAGTTGTGCTCCCGTCAAAGAAAATGGTGCTAGACACTGATCGATTGTGAAGTATAAATATCAGATGTTCGACGCCCGTTTGATTTATTTTCGGAGATGTTGAGCCATGGAACATATATGATGTAATGGCAAAAAGTAGTATGGATTCATATTTTTGTGTTTGGAAGATTGCGGTTTAGTCCCATTGCCTTGAACAGAATACTGGGTGAAGTGACTTGACTGCTGAAACTTGCTTATTTGTATTGAATGAAATTTTGAGCCATGTAAACAATTTCCCAGCTCATGTAAACAATTTCCCAGCTAAAGGAGAAATTGATGAGCTCTAGCCATCGGACTAATATAGCTCGTGGTACTCGTTTGACACACGGTATTATACAAAGAACACGTATTATTGAACTGTGAAGTATTTAACCCAAACATACAAAATGCATCTACATATTGAGTATACAGACATGAAAAACTGACACTAACCCGGTTCGTGTCCTTACTGAGGATACGAAAAATTGACACTAACCCAGTTCGTATCCTTATCGAGGATACGAAAAACTGACACTAGTGACACTTGTTGAGTCAAATATGGGCAGCTGAGCCCATTCCATTTGACAGCCCCAAGATGTTGAAATTGTGCAGCAGCCAGGCTGCTCATTTTATTCACATTAATTAGTACACAAATGTGGAAAAATGTATGCTCTTCTTCTATAAATAGCTAGCAATTTTGAGGAACAAAACCAACCAAAAATACAATATCAATACTAGAGAGAAAGAGTAGAGAGAGTGTATTCATACGGGCTTGTGTGAGTTGTAACATTCGGTTTACCCTCTTCTTCTAGTTCATTCTCCTGGCTTGGTTCGCTCCCAGACGTAGGATTTAATCCGAACTGGGTTAACAAATCTTCGTGTCTTTTATTAATTTCACATTGGTGTATTGTTGTTATTCCATCTTATCCGACCTTATTTCCCAACAACTGGTATCAGAGTCAGGTTGTTGGAGATAAGATGGAGGGAAAATTCCAGTCGAACGGTTCAATGGTTCCGATTTTGGATTCTGGCGAATGCAAATGGAGGCTTACCTGTACGGGAAGGACCTCTATGCACCTCTTGGGGAAAAGCCCGAGAAGATGAGCGATGATGAATGGAAGGTGCTCGATCGGAAGGCGATGAGCGCTATAATTCTTTCGCTCTCTCGGAACGTCGCCTACCATGTGAAGGGAGCAAAAAGCACGAAGGAGGTCTTGCAGACACTCGCCGACATGTATGAAAAACCATCAACAATAAACAAGGTGATGCTGATGAAAAAGCTGTTCAAATTGCAAATGGAGGAGCGAAAGTCAGTGGCAAAGAGAAGATGAAGTTCGACAACTCACGACGCAGCTGGCATCGGTGGATATTTCGTTTGATGATGAGGTAAAAGCCCTAATCTTGCTCTCATCATTGCTGGACAGTTGGGACGTGGTTGTTACTTCGGTGAGCACTTCTTCTAGCAAGGAGAAGATGAAGTTCGACAACATAAGAGACATGATGTTGAACGAAGAGACCCGCAGAAATCAGGCGGGTGGGTTGTCTGGCTCAGCCCTACATACAGAGTCCAGAGGGAGACCCGAAATACGAGGGAACATTCGTGGGAGGTCAAAATCCAGGGGGAGGAATAAAGGCAAGAAAGAGATGGTTTGTTGGAACTGCGAGAAGCCTGGGCATATGAAAAGCGAATGTCGGGCACCAAGGAAGGACAAAGAAGGCCGGACAGCCAAAGTCGTGATGGAGGACACGGCGGATGCACTCTTGTTGAGTGTGAGAAGCTCGCTCGATGACTGGATCGTGGACTCAGGGGCCTCGTTTCACTCTTGCAGTAGCAGAGACATCATGGAGCCATACACTGCAGGTGATTTTGGCGTGGTATATCTTGCAGACAACAAACCTCTAAAAATTGTAGGGAAGGGAGATGTGCAGATCAAGTCCGCAAATGGGTCATGATGGACCCTACGGGATGTGAGGCACATTCCAGGACTGAAGAGGAATCTCATCTCAGTTGGACAGCTGGACAATGACGGCTTCCACACAATGTTTGGAGACGGAAAGTGGAAGGTCAGCCGAGGAGCTATGACTTTGGCAAGAGGGCTGAAGTCAGGAACGCTTTACACGGCGAGTGGATCCAGCTCAAACATTCTCCTGGCAGGAGCTGTCTCACAATCGCACTTGTGGCACAGTCGCTTGGGCCACATGAGCGAGAAAGGAATGAAGGTACTAAAGTCGAGAGGACTTTTGCCCGAGTTGAAGTCAGTGGACGTGGGTCTCTGCGAGCAATGCGTGCTTGGAAAGCAGAAGCGAGTGAGCTTCATGTAGGAAATTTGGTGTAAAATTACACGGGAATCCTATGAACTGATATGTATTTTCAGTTTTTACATATAATCTAAAAATAGAAAATTACAATTGAACTGAAAAATAAAATACAACTGAATAAAAAAAAAAATATAACGGAAAGAATAAAGCCGAGGCGAGTAAAACTCTTTCCGCAAG